CGGGGTCCTGGCAGGGGCGGCCCGGCGCCCGCCCGGCCGGGCGAAGGGTGACAGGCCCGCTGCCGGGGAAGCCGTCCCCGCTGCGCGCCCGGAGCCTCACACTTACCAAGATCCGCTTGAACAGCGCGTTCTCCTTGGGCGGGAGGCTCACGGCCGGCATCGTTCCGGCTCCTCCCGCTGCTCCCGCCACCACCCGGTTCGGTCAGTCCGTTTGTCCGACCGCCGCCACTGCCGTTCCCTAGGCTCCTTCAGCCTTGAATACCCCGATCTACCGCCACCACCAGGCCTCGGGTGTCGCTGCGTAGCCTTTCCGGGACACCCCCTTCTCTTCCTTGTCTTTTTTCCTTTCTCACTTAACGCTGCCGCCGCCTCCCCCCCACGGGTCTCCGTCGGCGGTTCACGTGGTAACTGAACAGACCGACAGAGGCAGCCAAAATGGCGGACGCAGAGGGCTTTCCCACCCGGGTCACACCTCCTACCGCGCAGGCGCGATGACCTTCTTTCCCCACCCTCCGCCGCGGAGCTTGCCGGGAACACGGAGGCTGCGAGGCCCGCCCCAGCAGAGGCTCCAGGTCCGCCCCGCCTATTGCTTCCAGCGCTGCGCGCCTCCGAAGCCCCGGGGTAGGGGCGGGAGTAGCCAGCTATGCCCTCCTCCGCTGCCTCCTCGAGAGTCGCTTTTCTGCTCTTTCTTGTTGGACTGGCTTTTCATTCAGTGGGTAGACGTTCCCGGACTGTGACCCTGAAATAGTAGCTTGCAGTTGTACGTGTGCAAGGAGCGTTGTATTGGCTCGCGGCCTGAGTGCTTAATGGAGGAGCAGAAGCGGAGGGGAAAAGAGAAAGTGTTCGCCGCGGTGGGAACTTGTGAACAGATCCGGAGAGGAAGGGGCTTTTTTTTTGAGTTTGCAATGCATGAAAGAGCTTGACCTATTAAGTGGGCCTGGCTGGCTGGGGCATCGGTGACTATTGCCTGGAAAGGTCGTTAGCCACTTCCAAGGTGACATATTCGTACTGCCGGAGGAGCCTGTGGCGGATGAAGTGTGTGATGTTACTTCACTGGTGAGGTCACACAATACAGGGTCGGGTCACCTTGGTGTAGTGCACCAAGAAGTTCAGGGGACCCATCACCAGAATTCCTCAAATCTCAGAAGCCAAACAGTACTGGAGGGAACTTTCCACCGGGCCAGGTTAGACTGATCTGAACAGGACACCTTCCACATATAGGAGTCCTTTCATTAATAGCTGACAGTAAAGCTTTTTCAAATCGGCATTCCAGTGATGATCTAAAATTTTTCAAGTCATATGAGGCATTTTGGACTGGGCACGTAGCTCAGCGGTACAAGTGCCTGCCTAGCAAGCGCAGGCCCTGAGTTTGATTCCTGGTACCAAAAAAAAAAAAAAAAAAAAAAGGTGAAAGAAAGAAAGAAAAAAAGCCGGCCGTGGTGGTGCACGCCTGTAATCCCAGCACTCAGGAGGCTGAGGCAGGAGGATCGTGAGTTAAAGACGTGCCTGGGCTACAAAGTGAGCTTAAGGCCAGCCTGAACTGCATAGGGAGACCCTGCCTCAAAAAGACAAAAAAAAAAAAAGGCATTTTACCCTTGAGTATCTTCCCCAAAGCCAGAATAATCGGTAGCATTCTTTGCATAATGAGTCATTACACCCAATGTGCAGTGGTTTTAAATATGGATACTGTATAGTTTTCAATTTTTTTTTTTTCAAATTCTTATTTAACCCTCTGCAAAATTTACTGGCCCCGAGAGGCCTTTCAACCATCTGAACTGTTAAAGACACCCCCCCCCAAATTGTAACTACAGATGATAATTTTCGCTTAGCCACTAAATTGAGTTTCCAAATCTCTGGTTTCCTATCCAAAAATCCTGACAGCAATATTATATGCTGTTGCTTTCTATTAAAATTCTACAGGTCAAAAAAAAATATTAAAACATTTTAAAAATTCGACAGGTCCAACTGAGGACCAGGAGGAGGACCAACCTCCTCTTGTAGCTGTAAGTCTAAAACAACAACAAAAATCCCAGAAGGGCAAAATATTGAAATTAAGTCCAGGTGAAAAATAGACTTCTTTCATGTTGTTTTGCTACAAAATGTAAATAATCACTAATATGTAGATGTTTCAATAAAGAATATCTTACATACATAGAGACATTTCACTATGTATTCCTTGTGTAGAATTGAAGTTAGGTGGTTTTGTTTTTTGGAGGAAGTTGATTGTGTGTGTGTGTGTGTGTGTGTGTGTGTGTGTGTGTGCTGAGGCTTGAACCCAGGCCCTTGCACATGCTAGGCAAGTTCTGTACTACTGAGTTACATCCTCAGTCCTGGAGGAAACATTCGGACCAGAGGGAGTTGTGAATGGGTGTATGTGGTGGGATGAATGAAGTAATTGTGCTCGTCAGCATCATTTAGCTTTGGATATGGACTTACTGGAAGTTCCTGGAAGCCCAGGTGCTATTCACAGAGTAACTCAAATGAAATCTCTATCTGTCAAATAGTGCTGATTAGAATAGACATTGTAGGGCTGGGGATATAGCTCAGTGGCACAAGAGCTTGCCTGGCAAGCCTGAGGTCATGAGTTCGATTCCTGGTACCAAAAAAAAAGAATAGACAGGGGCTGGGGATTTAGCTCAGCAGCAAAAGCGCCTGCCTGGCAAGCGCAAGGTCGTGAGTTCGGTTCCCGGTACCGGAGAAAAACAAAAAAAAACAAACAAAAAAGAATAGACACTGTATTGTTGAGTTTAGGCTCTCAAGTCACTGGCCAGTCCAACTAGTCTCTATGGGTGCATTTGAGCTTGGAAGTGAGTCAGATAAATGTTGAAATGAGGCAACTATTCACTAAGTCTTAAAAGTTGTTAATTTTTTTTTCTTCCAGTACCGGGAATCAAAATCATGACCTTGTGCTTGCCAGGCAGGCTCTGTGCCACTGAGCTAAATCCCCAGCCCCGATAATTATTTGTTATCAGCCAAGAATTGACCTTGCCCAAATTACTAGACCTTGTTGGCTCCTCTAAGCAGACACTCAACTTCTGGTAGAAATCACTAACTGTTTAGAAGTTCAGAAATATGCTTCCCCTTAGGGAAAAATAGAACATTATTTACAGGAGGGATTATGTACGGGACTCTAAAAGAACATTCTATATCCAAGAAAGCCAGGAGATGTGAGCTGAGTGAGGTGTTTCCTAGTAGAAAAATATAGGAGTAAAACTTTGTATTTCTACCTGCTAACTGAAATCCTCTCTCTCCTCAGCTGGGTCGTGAATATGGTTTTTACAGTCACATTCAGGAAATGGCTTAAGTGAATGTTACGGAGCAACTTCTCCCAACTATAACGACTAGTTCCTGGCTGGAATTGCTTTATCAGGGTTCTTCAGGATGGAATTTCACCTACAGCTGCCTCCACTGAGTATAGAGTTCCACAGTTCAAACATGCTGAGGGGACTGTGCTTATATTTCATCACTTTCCCAAAATATACACGAGTAAAAGGATATGGCCACCAAAACTCTGAAACAGAACGAAATGGACTTTCCCAGCGGAAGTCCTGAAATGTGTAATTTACTCACTGGTTCTGTGTGCTCTGACTAACAGCGGCTCCTGTTGCAACTTGTTGGAGACTAGCAAAAGCCTTGTCAGAACAAGCTTCCCAGGGATGTTGCAAGGATATACAGCTGACCGGTGCTGAGTGGACAGGACATGGAGAACCAGCAACTGACTCAGCACCTTAGCTGGGTGGTTTGCCTACTTCAGCATAAGTCCAGGAACTTAACCTAGGTTATAGACTCTAAAGTGACTCAATTTAGCAACCTATCGAGCCATCATTTTCATTTTAAAATGAAGCAGAAGCATAGTACAATTACTTTACTCTTTGTTCAATAATTTTTGGTTTAAAAAAAATTTAATGGCATTGCTAAAAAATTAGAGAAACAAAGTTTTGCTAACATGTATTTCGCTTCTGGAAAATGAAACTAAATGGCACTAGGTTTAAAGAAATGGCTTTAGCCAGGCGTTGTGGAACATGCCTGTAATCCCAGCACTCGGGAGGCTGAGGCAGGAGGATGGTTGTGAGTTTGAGACCAGCCTGGGCTACAAA